CTACTAACTGCCACAGTTCTTTACTGCGCAGAAAGTTTTCCATGGTCATAGACCAAAAATCATAGTGGCCATCGAACCTTGGAATGGCCGGTTGAACAAACTTCTCTGGTGTGGACATTCTTACTTTCACACGTCTCACTAATATGACCCACACTCTGTACCAGATTGTTCTTCACACAAATCTGGATAATTCCTCTCTGTGCACACGTAGTTCACTTTGGATCAGGCCCCTTACGGAGCTCTGATACCAATTGTTAATTCTGCAGGTATGCGTAAACTTACAGAAGAATATTTGTGCACTCATCTATTTTATTCAATGCAAAGAATGGCTTAAATAAGCCTTACAGACTCAGATAAAATAAACTAACTGCAACTGCACACTAAGTGCCATTAAACTAGGAGTAAATATTGCAACAAATTAAAGACTTGTTCAGCCCTATATTTTAGGAGCTTTATTGACACGTAAAATAACTAACAAGAATTAGGTTGCAATGACAGCATATCAGTGTTCAATAGCAAAAATTTGAATAATTATGATAAATGGTGCGTGAAGATGAAAATTATATTTGGGTTCTAAGAAGTCTTGGATATAGTCTGGAATAAATATGATGAGTTATTGAAGAATCCGACCAAGGCATAACGTGTTGTGTTTTGTCATGCGAAGTAACGTGATTATAAAACTTTGTTTTACATTAATCAGTATGTAAATGAAAACAATTTTGAAAAGATTTTGTTTGCAAATACGACGAAAGAAACCTGTGACATACTAATGCAGAGTTACGCAAGAGTAGAAATGTTGAAGATTATGCGACTTCAAATGTTGCATCATCTATATGAGTTGTTGTAGATGAGAACACAAGAAACTATCCAAGAATATTTTTTAAGATTGTTGTCGATCACAAACTTTATTAAGTTATGTGGTGAATGCTTGAAAGAACAAACTGTTGGGGTGAGAAGAACCCATAACATAATGCCTTAAGATTTTGGGTTGAAGGTGATGTCATATTCTCTTATATGGTTGACTTATGTCTCATGTTAAAGATGAATGACTTACATGGGTCATTGGAGGTTCACAAACAATGGTTACATGGAAGAGTAGAAGAGAAGTCCAATGCATAACAAACATTGTTGACGAAACAAACAAATGAAGATAATAGAGGAAAATCGAACAAAAGAAGTCGAGAAAAAGAAAAATATATAAATAATGGTGGATAAGACTCAAAAAAGCAACATGAGAACTCTTCACAATCGAGAGGTGACAGATGCAGAAACTCAAAATGGAGAGGTGATTGTTCTAACTCTACTGTGAGTAAGAAGAATGTACAATGTTATAATTGTAACAAGTATGACTGTTATATTGCTTATTATTGGAACAAAGAAGAAGAAGAAAATGGGACACAAAGAGAAACTCGGAGGATGAAATACTGTTAATGGTGACCTCGACGACACTAGTGTAGACTTTTTAGTAAATCCTGATACTTGGATACTGGTTGTTAAAATCACATTATTTCAAAGAAGTTGTTTCATCGAACTCAATGAGAGTGTTAGATCAAAGGTAAAATTTGCATATAATTCTATAGTGAATTGTGAAGGAAAAGGTAAAATCATGATCAAAAGAAGAGATGACAAATTTGCAATAATTTTGAATGTTCTTTATGTGTAAGTCATAAAACACAATTAGTAGAATATCGGACAATTACTTCAAAAAGAGTATTTGATCGATTAGAGATTGAGAAAGCAAATGTTAAAATCCTCGATAAAAATGGGATAACGATTTTGAAGGCACCTCTAAGCAAGAATAGAGTTTTTTAAGTTGATATTTCAGTATCAAATAACTTTTGTTTTCGAGCAGTAGTCTTGGATGACAATTGATTGTGACATTTGAGGTTTGATTATTTTAACTTCGATAGTTTAAGCCAACTTAGACAAAGGGAGATGGTGATTGAATTGCTTCAAGTCCAAAAAAGTAAAGACATATGTGAAGGTTGCATAATAGGGAAACAAGCTATAAATCCTTTTAAAGTGCGCATTGAGACTAGAAATAAGATGTGTTAGAAGTTATCTACATCAATATGTGTGTACCTTTCGATATTTCTTTACTACGTGGTAATAGATACTTTGTGACATTTAATGACTATAGTAAGAAAATGTGAGTATATTTGTTCGAGAAGAAGTCAAAGGTGCTTAACCATTTTGTCAATTTTAAATCGATGGTCAAGAAATAGTGTGATTGAACTATTAAAGTGTTGATATCAGACGGAGGTGGTGAATATAATAATGATGAATTTACATCATTTTGCAAAGAGAAAGGTATTATGCATGAGGTAGTATCCCGTACACATCACAACATAATGAAGTTGCAAAAAGAAGAAATCCAACGATTTTAAATATAGTCAGAAGTATGTTGAAAACAAAAAATTTGTCATATTCATTTTGGGGAAAAACAATATTGACAACTGTATACATATTGAATCAATATCCAACAAAGAGAGCAAAGGAGGAGAAAACTCCATAAGAAGTTTGATCTAGGAGAAAGTCAAATATAAAGCATTTGAAAGTGTTTGACTTGATTGATTAGAGACATGTTCTAGATGAGACAAGGAAGAAGTTCCATGATAAAAGTTAGAAGTTAATTTTGGTAGGATATCATGCAACTGGTGCATATAAGTTGTATGATCCTATCACGAAGAAAATCATCATCGGTAGAGATGTTATGGATGAGAAAAATTGTTGGAAATGATGTTCGATGGTGAAAATCAAAGTGTTAGCTTTGATGACTCAGGTGATAACAAAATTGAAAGAAAATATCAATCTATTTCTAGTATTGAAGGAGGTGAAAATCAATCGATATCAAAATTCAAAATAGGAGAAAGAAATCGACCGATTTCTAAAATCAAAGGAAGGAGAAATCGACTGATATGATCAATTAGAATACCAACGAGACTCAATGATTATGTAATCAATATTGATGATTCTATCACAACAACTGAACAAATGATTGAACAAATGGAGAACGAGAATGATCTTGTACATTTAACATTGTATGCTGATATCAAATTTGAACTAGTTTATTTTGAAGAAGTGATCGAGAATCCCAAATAGATTGAAATCATGGAAGAGAAGTTATTGACAATGGAAAATAATAAAACGTGGGAATTAACTGATCTCCCAAAGAATCAAAGATTAGTAAACCAAAGTTACATCGATCGAGGAGTTAAAAAAATAAAAATAAAGGATGAAATAAGAAGCTAAAATAAGATTCCATCTAAACTTTTGAGTAATCAAAGATTGATAGAATTAAGGAAAAACTTGAATATTAAATCGATTGTTGAATTAAAAAGTTATGTTAAATTATAATTAAACAATAATATTATAATACTGTGTCTATATTATTTCAACGTGTTATTGTATAATTCAGTTTTTAAATATAATTTTCATTCCGTGTGTATTTTTCTCTTTATACTCTTGTTTGGATTTTCCCTTTCGGCTAACAAATTTTTTTAAGCGAATTCTATAGAATTAAATTAGTTATATTTTTAATATACGATTTTAAATTAATTTTAATTATGTTGAGATTATTAAAAAAATCTTTAGTTATAGAAAATCTTTCTTTAGGTTAGAACATGAATAAAATTCATTTAAAAAAAGTGAAAGAAAAATCTTCTTTAGTTTAGAACGTGACTAAAAATATTTTTTTATTAAAAAGTGATGAAATCTCAGGTTAATTAATAATATTCTAAGTATAATAATCACGTTAATAAACACAATTTTTTAGGATTTAGTTAATTCCTTATCATTTCTAATAAGATAAAGAATGCAATTGAAAAACGTAAACGGTACGACGAACTGTTTGTTATTGTGTTGGTTTTCATTTTTTAATTTAAAATATGTTTTTTTTAAGCTCTTCTAAAAAATTTTAAAATCAGATTTTGAACGCCGAATAAAGACATAAAAACGTAAAACAAAAAAGGGTTAGGTATTCATTTTAGGATAATGATGGTTTGATAATAAGGTTTTTGTCCATTTCTTTAGTGGTTTCCTGCTAATGACATTAAAGGATGTTTTATTTATTTATTTTAAATATCATGTTTTTATTACAAAGTTGCCAATAATAAATATAGTTATTTACAGTTGTGCCATTTTGTTACAAATGGTTACAAAAACATCTTTTAGGTTTTTCTTTTTATAGTTAAAAAAAAAACAATATTTTCGAAATAGTTTTTCAGATAGCCACGGCAAAACAATAATAAAATATGTTTTTGTTTTTTAAATCTTAAAAGTATTTTCATAAACCAAATCAAACAGAGCCTAATAATTTTATGTTCTTATTTTATTCTTGTGTCAAAATTTTCTTATGACTTGCCCTTTTGTAAGTAGGAAGGAGAATGAATAAGTTTTTAAATTATTTCTTGAAATTCCATGGGTAAATACTTGAGTTTCTGAAGTTTTAAAAATCTTTCCTAAGTCATTGATTTTATATATATAAAAAATATTTATACTTTCCAATATTATTTTGAAAAAAAAAATGTAGATTTTGTTGTTGTTGAAAAGATATCAAGAGTGTACAACTCTAAATATACAAATAACTAAAACATAAGTTGGTATAAAAAAATTTAAATTTTTATGAATATTATTATATTAAAATGAATTTGCCATGGTATGATTTCTATATAAATTTCTTGTCCCTAGGCAAGTGGATTTTAAGATTTTTAAAATACGACACTTAATCAAATGTTTGATTGTTCTCTAATTGAAAATAGGAAGATAATATATCCAACTCATTGCAGATTCGTTTCTCCACCTGAAATCAAGTCTAATAAAACTACGTAACTTGTTTTGAAGAATTCTAAGCTGTTCTAAATGTAAATGGTGGTCATTTCACCATGTAACATGTTTAATTTGGTTGGAATTTACGTAGGCACGAGATTACTGGTCTGGTGACAGAGGTGAGAAGCAACGTGCAAAAGTTCAAAGTTGGAGACAGAGTTGGTGTGGGGTGCATGGTTGGGTCCTGTCGTTCCTGTCAAAGCTGTGGTGAAGACCTTGAGAATCACTGCTCCAAAATGATTCCGACATACAGTGGCAAGTATATTGATGGCACCATAACATACGGAGGCTACTCTGACTTAATGGTTGTAGATGAACACTTTGTGATTCGCATTCCAGATAACCTACCTCTTGATGCTACTGCTCCTCTCCTATGTGCTGGGATCACTGTGTATAGCTCTTTGAGATATTACGGACTTGACAAGCCTGGCCTACACATTGCTGTGGTTGGTTTTGGTGAACTATGTCACATGGTTATCAATTTTGCCAAAACTCTTGGAGTTAAGGTCACAGTAATTAGTACATCTCCCAACAAAAAGAAGGAAGCCATTGAGAATATGGGAGCTGACTCATTTGTTGTGAGCAGTGAACAAGATGAGATGATGGTAATTATCAGTGACCAAAACATTAGCTTTTTTTTTTTTAAAATATATTTTACTGACAGTTGTAAAAAGTTATGCGTAAATTGTTTTGTCATGGGTTGTGTGTGCTTTGTTGCTAGTAGAAGCATTCCTGTAAGAAATAATCTTTGAGCAACCTCTAATGTTTTTCATTAAATATCTGTGTAGGATGCAACGGGAACCTTTGATGGAATCATTGACACTGTTGTCCATCCTCTCGTGCCTTTGTTTGGCCTGTTGAAACCTCATGGTAAATTAGTCGTGGTTGGTGCACCGGAGAAGCCTTTGGAGGTTCCTGCATTTTCTTTACTAGTGGGTAATGCCATCAATTACACACTTCCTAATTTTGAATTGCGATCATGATTGGGATTCTTAATGTTGAGAAAATTGCTGACAATGTCATATGTCACAGGTCACAATTAATGTAGAATTCTTCGTATTTAAGCAGAAAGTATCGTAGGATGAAAGGAAAGATGGTTTATTATTAAGTAATGGAGAGGTTAAAAAGAAAGTATAAATGGAGAGTTTGATAGGAAAATGTGGAAAAATTTATTTTAGTTTCTGCACATTCCTTATACAACTAGTGTTTGTTTATTTATAGGTTTTACTTCCTATTTCTAATAGTCAATTATATTTTAGATATTTTAAATTTTTTTAAATATAAAATTATTTATCTTTTATTTTCAAAATGTTTTAATAATTGTAGACATTATTTATACGAAATTCTTAGTTATAGTAATATATAAAACATTTTTTCTAATTCTTTCTAGAATTTGTATCATTTATTATCACTCATCTTTGATATAAATTTTGGTAACTCTAAAAATTTATTTTTAAGAAGTATCTTGTTAAACATATCTTTTCCTAATAGACTCTAGGTTGTTATGAATATTCATTTATCATCAACCTATCCTTATGCTTTTATATATTTTCGTTAATATTGAATTTTGTTTTGTAGAATCATTTAACTCCAATGACATATTTTTCATGTGAACAATCTATTAATCTTTAAATATTGTTCTTTTCAATTATTTTAATTTCTTTTTCTATTGTCTTGATCTATTCTTCATGTTTTGTTGTCTCTTCATAGCATTCAAGTTCAAGTAATATCATGTTGTATAGTTTATATATATCCATCAAGGATCTTACTTAGCTAAGAGTAAATTTTAGTAAAAAATCTTGTTGTGTAGAGGAAGGAAACATATTTGGATGTGCCACTTCTTGAACTTCTTCTTGAGAATGTTGGTTTGGAATAAAAATGTTGTTTCTCTTATATTCTTCCTTCTTCTCAATTCCATAAAGCACTTCCATTAACTTTTAACATATTTTGTTGTTGATATTAAGTCTTTTTGTCTATAATAAGTTATAAACCTTATAACCTTTTGTCTGTGTTATATCCCAAAAATATTTATTGTATAGTCTTGTCTTTTAATTTGTGTATTTTTTTTATTTAACACTTGTTTATAAAAGATAGATTCAAAAATACTTAAATGCTTTACTAATGGATTTTACCCATTCCAAGATTCAATTAGAGTATAATCTTGGACTACTTTAGTTAAGCATCTTAAGTATATAAACATTTCTCCTTTAACATCAATCTAACTATCTCAATCACTATATGATTCTTTTTTTCTGATACACCATTCTATTATGATGTATATGTGATTTTAAGTTGCCTTTTTATTCTTTCATTTTCACAAAACTTGTTGAACTCATGTGAGTCATATTTTTTGTATTGATCATTTCTTAAAATTTTTATATGTTATTCACATTGTTTTTCGATGAGAATTTTGAACTTCTTGAATATTTCAAAGACTCATGATTGTTCTTTGATGAGGTAAACCTAGGTCATTGTAGAAAAATTATTGATAAAAATGATAAATTATCTATTGTTGTTTAGTAACAGTATCCTCATCAGTCCATAAATGTCTACGTGGATTAACTCTAACAAATTTTATTTTTCTCCATGCTTTGTTGATTGGAAATGATAATCCCTCTTTCTATTCGAGAAAACATCCTTCACAAATTTTATTATTCTCTTTTAGATATGACAAACCTCTCATCATATGTAATAACTTCAAAGGTCTTGGTGTTAAAATATCTTAACCTTTTATGTCAAAGCTATAATTCATCAACTTAGGTTTTCATGACAATAGCAGTAGTATATTTGAAGCTTATACAAAAGTTTCTATTTTTTTTATCCATTTTTACTTCTCTTATCTCTTATCTTTTATTATCGTAGATTTTGCATGATCTCCTTTAAAGCGAAGAATATAATCTTTCTCCATTTATCCAATAATCAAAGGACTTTTTTTTTTAAGATTGAAAACGATTAAGACATCTTTAATAAATTTTGTACCTTTCTTTGTCCGTAACAATATCTCTTCCTTTTCACTCCACTAGGATGTCATTTCCCAATCGTACTTTCACTTTGACAGATTCGTCAATGACCTTGAAAATATTTTCGTTTTTAGTAATGTGATCACTGCATTCATTATCCAAGTATTAATTTCTGATTGTTTCATCATTAGAGTCTCAAGTAGAAGAAAAAGGACGATGACAAAGGTTATGCTCTTCAACGAAATTTTCTAGATACTTGTTTTTACTACAACAATTCTTATTCACATGTCCAAATTTCTTGCAACGCTCGCAATGTGATTTTTTCCAATGCCAATAATATTTCTCACCTTGACTTGACTTTTTGCAAATGTAATAAAGAGAATATTTGTCTAAACTGTAATAAAAATTATTTTCTCCATAATTTTCTTCTCAAAAATATTTTCCCCACTTACTTTTTTGTTGTTGTATATTATGATATCGAAGTCAATTCAGGGCAAATGTTTGAATCTATTATGACATAACAGTGGGACGCTCAACGAACCTTTTTTAATATTCTAAGACATTTTTTCGAACTCTGAATAGAAGTTAAATAATTTTTCAAGCCTAATCAAATGTATTCAGATTTTACTCAGAAGTTCCTAGATGGAATTGATTTTATTTCTTTTTTTTGAATGAAGGTCTCTTTTAGTGGTACATGACTCCTTCATATTTAATAACTCCAACTCATGTCTTAAAGTTTGAAGTTTAATGATGTGTATATATTTACATTTCCTTGGAACTCTTCTTATAGTGTTCTCCAAGCTTCTTTAGTACTTGTGGTATCTATTATTCTTGAAAAAGTGTTATCAAACAATGTCATTCACTTCTTCTATTTATTTTCCTTTAACTCTTTTTTCTAACCAATTATTAGTGTGAAAATGTTTGTACGAGTAATGAAATCATCTTCTACAATCTCATAAATTTTGAGAACAAAAAAATATATTTATTTTAATGCTAAAAAAGTAATAATTTTCTCCATTATAAGAAAATTTTGATTTTTGGACGGACAAAATCTGTCAGGACCCAAGTATATCTTTATTATTTTTTACATTTTAAATTATTATTTATTAAGAGAATGTCACTAGCGAGATTCGAACCCACTACCTTAGAATTGGAGGCTAATACTCCAACCACTAAGCTAGTACGATTTTTAAATAATAATTTATAAATAAATTATATTTATATAAAAGTAAATGTATATCCGGGTAAATATATAGATATAACATATATAAATACAAATATATTTATATATTTTGATATATTTATATATTTATCGACGAATATATACATCAGTAACTAATTGTTAATTCACTACAAGAAAACACTAAATAGTAACCGAAAATTCGGTCACTAAATGTGCAAAATCGATTACTAATTAAAATAGTGACCGAAATAGTGACCGAATCAATGAAAAAGAATAACAAATTTAATTATTTTTATTTATTTACATTTTTATTATATCTATTATTTATGTCCCCTATCTCTTAATTATATTATATTTTTTAAGTTTAACTTATTATTAGGTGGTTTACGTCATTATCGGATTCAACCTTAGAGTTGGAGGTCGAAACTCCAACCACTGAGCTACTTAGGATCTTTTAATAATAACTTACAAATAAATTATATTTATATACAAATAAATGTATATCCGTATAAATATATAAATATAAAATCTATAAATAAAAATATATTTATATATTTTAATATATATTTAAATATTGATATATTTAAATATTGATATATTTATATATTGATATATTTATATCTTTATATTTTTACATATATTTATATTTTTATATATTTATATCTTCATATTTTTACATATATTTATATGTTTTCATATTTATATATAAAGATATTAATTTTCTATACAAATAATATTATAATATAGTATATTATACTATTAGTATAGTATACAAATAATATATTAGTATAGTATAATATACAAATTATTAATTTTGTAATTTATATACAATGAAAATAATATAATGGTATATTAGTATAGTATAGTATATTTGTATTCTAATTTTTAATTAAATTAAAATTATGCTAATAATGTATATTAATATATGAGGGGATAATATTGATATATTGATATATTTGTATATATATATATATATATATATATATATATATATTTATATATTTATATATTGATATATTTATATATTTATATATTAATATATTAATATATTTATATATTTATATTTTGATATATTTATATATTTATATATTTATTTATATCCTTATACATTTATATCTTTATATATTTATATATTTGAAAAAAAATATTATATTTTAAAAATAATATTATATTTTTAAAAATAAATATAAGAAAAAGATTTAAAAATATATATAAATTATATTTACATTTACAAAATATTAAAGATATATGTTTATATCTTTACATATTTATATATATTTATATATTTATATGTTTATATTTACTTTAATAGCGGTTGCACCATCGCTCGAGCGAGATTATAGTCGCTCAAGCGAAATACAACCCGAGAATGCCAATTTTGTGCGAGGCGTTTCGCTCGAGCGATAAGAGTATCGCTCAAGCGAAATACATTTTAGATAGCGGTTACACAAGAACCGCTCTTAAAAGCTCACTTAGATAGCGGTTAACCTGAAACCGCTATTATATGGTTTCAATTATGATCGATCACAATGCAATTATGACCGATCGAACTCTTTTAATCGATTAAATCTCGTTTCAATCGATTAAAACAATTTCTGCACGACGTTTTAATCGATTAAAACTTATTTTTATCGATTAAAATAACTTGAAAAGTTTTACAAGAAACTTATATTTATATATTTATATATTTATATTTTGATATATTTATATATTGATATATTTATATATTTATTTATATCCTTATACATTTATATCTTTATATATTTATATATTTGAAAAAAAAATATTAAATTTTAAAAATAATATTATATTTTTCAAAATAAATATTAGAAAAAGATTTAAAAATTCTCAATTCTACATTTTTGTAAATTCTATCATTATATTATCATGCTCATTATATCAAAATGTTAAATACTTTTAAATATTAAAATTAACTTTATAAAAAATTAGGAAAAAAAATTAATCCAAAAGAGTTCAAAAATGTATTATAATATTGTCAATTTTGAGTTTAATTATATTGTTCATTCTCAAAGTAGAAAAAGATTTAATAATAATAAATTTAATTCTTTAAATTCAGTAGTTAGAAACTAAAATTATAGTTTCTCTGTTTTAAATAATTAAAATAAATATTTAAAAATAAAAATCAAAACTAATATTATCTTAAATTTATTAAAAGTGTAATTAAATATCTATTTTCTTAATTTTATTTGTTTCAAACTTCTCAATTCTACATTTTTGTAAGTTCTATCATTATATTATCATCTTCATCTCCTCCCATGTTCTACTTTATCTTTACAATAGTCAATATTCTTAACTAATTTATAGTTTTAATTATAATTTTTTAGTATATATTTCAGAAATTAATCAATTCTAATCTATTATTTGAAAAACTAATCAATTCTAATCAATAATTTAGAAAACTAATCGATTATAATTAATTATTTGAAAAAATTATCAAATATGATCGATCATTTTGAAAATATAATCGATCAGAATCGGATTTCGCTTGAGCGAGAGTAGTCTCGCTCAAGCGAAATACACTTCAGATATCGTATAAGCCTTAACCGCTATCATATATACACTTCAGATAGCGGTTATAAGGGAACCGCTATTATATCCTCTCAATTATGATCGATCATTTCAAGTTATGATCGATCATAATCGTATTTTGCTCGAGCGAGAGTAGTGTCGCTCAAGCGAAATACAACCCGAGAATGCCAATTTTGTGCAGTGGGCGTTTCGCTCGAGCGAGAATATTGTCGCTCAAGCGAAATACATTTGAGATAGCGGTTCCACAAGAACCGCTCTTAAAAGTGCACTTCTAATAGCAGTTAACCATTAACCGCTATCTAAATTATACTTTAGATAGCGGTTATTGTGGAACCGCTATCATATCTTCTTATGAAAACTTACATTAACTATTTTTTTGAATATTATGTTTTTAAATTTGCTATTAGAGAAAACCTTTCAGAATTCAAAATGTTAAATACTTTTAAATATTAAAATTAACTTTATCAAAAATTAGGAAAAAAATTAATCCAAAAGAGTTCAAAAATGTATTATAATATTGTCAATTTTGAGTTTAATTATATTGTTCATTCTCAAAGTAAAAAAATATATTGTAACTAGTTTAATTTAATAAAATATAATTTAAATTTTTAATACTAAAATTAAAAGATTTCTGTTGCATGAGGTTTCTTCACTTAAAAGATTTTGCAAAATGCCTCTACAAATGTTTTTAACAATTAAAAACAAAGTATTTTGACAAAAGCTTTCTCAAATGCCTCTACAAAGTATTTTTAACAATTATATTGAGTTTAATTCTACAAATTAAAAGATTAAATAATAATAAATTTAATTCTTTAAATTCAAGTAGCTAGAAACTAAAATTATAGTTTCTCTGTTTTAAATAATTAAAATAAATATTTAAAAATAAAAATCAAAACTAGTATTATCTTAAATTTATTAAAAGTATAATTAAATATCTATTTTCTTAATTTTATTTGTTTCAAACTTCTCAATTCTACATTTTTGTAAGTTCTATCATTATATTATCATCATCATCTCCTCCCATGTTCTACTTTATCTTTACACTAGTCAATATTCTTAACTAATTTATATTTTTAATTATAATTTTTTAGTATATATTTCAGAAATTAATCAATTCTAATCTATTATTTGAAAAACTAATCAATTCTAATCAATAATTTAGAAAACTAATCGATTATAATTAATTATTTGAAAAAATTATAAAATATGATCGATCATTTCTAAAATCTAATCGATCAGAATCAAATATCGCTCGAGCGATACTAGAGTCGCTCAAGCGAAATACAACCCGAGAATGCAAATTTTGTGCAGGGGGCGTTTCGCTCGAGCGAGAAGAGTGTCGCTCAAGCGAGATACATTTAAGATAGCGGTTACACAGGAACCGCTCTTAAAAGCTCACTTAGATAGCGGTTAACCTGGAACCGCTATTATATCGTTTCAATTATGATAGATCAGAATGCAGTTATGACCGATCAGAACTATTTTAATCGATTAAATCTCGTTTCAATCGATTAAAACAATTTCTGCACAGCGTTTTAATCGATTAAAACTTATTTTTATCAGTTAAAATAACTTGAAAAGTTTTACAAGAAACTTATATTTATATATTTATATATTTATATTTTGATATATTTATATATTGATATATTTATATATTTATTTATATCCTTATACATTTATATCTTTATATATTTATATATTTGAAAAAAAAATATTAAATTTTAAAAATAATATTATATTTTTAAAAATAAATATTAGAAAAAGATTTAAAAATTCTCAATTCTACATTTTTGTAAATTCTATCATTATATTATCATGCTCATTATATCAAAATGTTAAATACTTTTAAATATTAAAATTAACTTTATAAAAAATTAGGAAAAAAAATTAATCCAAAAGAGTTCAAAAATGTATTATAATATTGTCAATTTTGAGTTTAATTATATTGTTCATTCTCAAAGTAGAAAAAGATTTAATAATAATAAATTTAATTCTTTAAATTCAGTAGTTAGAAACTAAAATTATAGTTTCTCTGTTTTAAATAATTAAAATAAATATTTAAAAATAAAAATCAAAACTAATATTATCTTAAATTTATTAAAAGTGTAATTAAATATCTATTTTCTTAATTTTATTTGTTTCAAACTTCTCAATTCTACATTTTTGTAAGTTCTATCATTATATTATCATCTTCATCTCCTCCCATGTTCTACTTTATCTTTACAATAGTCAATATTCTTAACTAATTTATAGTTTTAATTATAATTTTTTAGTATATATTTCAGAAATTAATCAATTCTAATCTATTATTTGAAAAACTAATCAATTCTAATCAATAATTTAGAAAACTAATCGATTATAATTAATTATTTGAAAAAATTATCAAATATGATCGATCATTTTGAAAATATAATCGATCGAATCGGATTTCGCTTGAGCGAGAGTAGTCTTGCT